GGCGGGCAGGGCCTCTGGTGAGTGGATTCTCTGCGAATGGTCCTGGGTGGGTAGGCGGAGCCTCTGATTGTAGGCGGGGGTCACCTGGGGGTGGGCAGGGCCAGTGGGGCGGGGCCTCCTGGTGGGTGGGGCTTCTCAGTGGGCGGGTCGGGAGGGGGCGGGCCTCCGGAGTGGGCGGGGCCGGCCACTGACCCGCCCCCGCCCGTCGCGTTCCCCCCACCCCCGCAAGGCCTTCTGAGTGGGTGGGGCCGGGTGGGCGGGGCCTCCGGGCGAGTGGGCGGGGCCCTCGCGTGGGGCGGGGCCTTCGCGTGGGCGGGGCCCGGAGAGGGCAGGGCCCGCCGCCGCTGACCCGCCCGTGTCCCCCCCTGTGCCCCCCAGGCAAGGCGTTCGACATCACCTACGTGCGCCTCAAGTTCCACACGAGCCGGCCCGAGAGCTTCGCCATCTACAAGCGCAACGCGCGAGGACGGGCCCTGGCTGCCCTACCAGTACTACAGCGGCTCGTGCGAGGCCACCTACGGCCGCGCCACCCGCGCCTTCCTGCGCACGGGCGCCGACGAGCAGCAGGCGCTCTGCACCGACGAGTTCAGCGACATCTCCCCGCTCACGGGCGGCAACGTGGCCTTCTCCACGCTCGAGGGCCGGCCCAGCGCCTACAACTTCGACCACAGCCCCGTGCTGCAGGTGCGCTCCTCCCCCGCCCCGCCCCTCCTTACCTGCCCCGCCCCACCCCTTTTAAGCCACCAAGCCCCGCCCCTCACCCGCCCCGCCCCTCCTTGCCCACCAAGCCCCGCCCCTCCTTACCTGCCCCGCCCCACCCCTTTTAAGCCACCAAGCCCCGCCCCTCACCAGCCCCGCCCCTCCTTACCTGCCCCGCCCCACCCCTTTTAAGCCACCAAGCCCCGCCCCTCACCAGCCCCGCCCCCTCCTTACCCACCAAGCCCCGCCCCTCCTTACCTGCCCCGCCCCACCCCCTTTTAAGCCACCAAGCCCCGCCCCTCACTGCCCTCCAAGCCCCGCCCCTCCTTACCTGCCCCGCCCCACCCCTTTTAAGCCACCAAGCCCCGCCCCTCCTTACCTGCCCCGCCCCACCCCTTTTAAGCCACCAAGCCCCGCCCCTCACCAGCCCCGCCCCTCCTTACCCACCAAGCCCCGCCCCTCCTTACCTGCCCCGCCCCACCCCCTTTTAAGCCACCAAGCCCCGCCCCTCACTGCCCACCAAGCCCCGCCCCTCCTTGCCTGCCCCCGCCCCACCCCTTTTAAGCCACCAAGCCCCGCCCCTCCTTACCTGCCCCGCCCCACCCCTTTTAAGCCACCAAGCCCCGCCCCTCACCAGCCCCGCCCCTCCTTACCCACCAAGCCCCGCCCCTCCTTACCTGCCCCGCCCCACCCCTTTTAAACCACCAAGCCCCGCCCCTCACCCGCCCCGCCCCCTCCTTATCCACCGAGCCCCGCCCCTGCCCCGCCCCTCTTTACCCGCCCCGCCCCCGCTCCTTACCCTCTCCTGGGACTGGTCCGCTCTGAGGTGTCGCTGGCCAGCCCTGAGGTGGTACTCTCGCCTGAGGTGGCACTGGCCCCCTCTGAGGTGGCGCCAGTCAGCTCTGAGGTGGCACTGGAGAGGTCTGAGGTGGCACTAGGTCAGCTCTTCAGTGGCACTGACCTACTCTGAGGTGTGCTGGCGAGGTCTGAGGCAGTGCTGGCCCGCTCTGAGGTGGCACTGGAGGTCTGAGGTGGCACTGGCCCGCTCTGAGGTGGCGCTGGCGTGGTCTGAGGTGACACTGGCCCGCTCTGAGGTGGCGCTGGAGAGGTCTGAGGTGACACTGGCCCGCTCTGAGGTGGCGCTGGAGTGGTCTGAGGTGACACTGGCCCGCTCTGAGGTGGCGCTGGAGAGGTCTGAGGTGACACTGGCCCGCTCTGAGGTGGCGCTGGAGAGGTCTGAGGTGACACTGGCCCGCTCTGAGGTGGCGCTGGAGAGGTCTGAGGTGACACTAGGCCCGCTCTGAGGTGGCGCTGGAGAGGTCTGAGGTGACACTGGCCCCGCTCTGAGGTGGCGCTGGAGAGGTCTGAGGTGACACTGGCCCGCTCTGAGGTGGCGCTGGAGAGGTCTGAGGTGACACTGGCCCGCTCTGAGGTGGCGCTGGAGAGGTCTGAGGTGACACTGGCCCGCTCTGAGGTGGCGCTGGAGAGGTCTGAGGTGACACTGGCCCACTCTGAGGTGGCGCTGGAGAGGTCTGAGGTGACACTGGCCTGCTCTGAGGTGGCGCTGGTTGACTGAGGTGCTGCCGATCGCCCTGAGGTCCCACTTCCCCGTGCTTATGCCAGCGAGGGTCTTCCTAAAAGTGTCTCTTGGGGCTGGAGCGACAGGACAGCAGGGGAGGTTTGCTCCTCGGCTGAGCTCCCTGAGTGGGCCCCTGAGCACGGGGCCAGGAGTAGTCCCCGAGTAATGCTATGGGTGTGGCGTTCCCCCCAAAAAAACAAAACACTGCCACCCCCAAGAAGTGTTTCTTGCAGCAGTGGCCGGATGTGACAGAAACAACAGGAAGATGTCACTCGGCTGGGGGTGCGAGGCAGGGCTGGTGGCCATGTCCCCTCGCAGGTGTCCGCCCATTTCTGGACTGCGGCCACTGAGACTGTGTGCACGTGCTGTGCATGTGTGAGACCCTCCCTCAGGGGGGACCGTCCCTGGTGTCCCCCCCCCCCCCAAACACAGCAGATTCACCAGAGAGGCAGTGAACAGTGGGCCATGCTGTGGCCACAGTTTCCTGGCAGCGCTGTTTCCCCCCACCCCCCCGCAGACCCCCCAGATCAGCCTGTGTGGGGTGGGAGGGACTTGGCTGGGTGCAACCTGGGGGGTCTCTGGGGCCCCCTGGCCCGTTGTTGGCTTTACAGAGACACTAATTGGGTGTCCCTGGAGGTGCGAGCCCTGGCTCTGCTTCCAGCGACTGGGGCGGGCGGAGGCGTTCCTCACCCCCCACCCCCATCACGGACAGGACATAAAATAGAAATAAAAGAAAATAAATAGGGGGGGCTGGGGCGATAGCACAGCGGATAGGGCGTTGGCCTGGCATGCAGCCGACCCGGGTTCGATCCCCGGCATCCCATAAGGTCCCCCGAGCACTGCCAGGAGTGATTCCTGAGTGCAGAGCCGGGAGTCAGCCCTGTGCATCTCCGGGTGTGACAGACAGAGAGAGAGAGAGAGAGGAGAGAGAGAAAGCGAAAGAAAGAAAGAAAGAAAGAAAGAAAGAAAGAAAGAAAGAAAGAGAGAGAGAGGCTGGAGCAATAGTCCAGCAGGTAGGGTGTTGGTCTGGCACATGGCTGACCCGGGTTCGATCCCCGGCATCCCCTAGGGTCCCCTGAGCATCGCCAGGAGTGATTCCCTGAGCGCAGAGCCAGGAGTCAGCCCTGAGCATCGCCGGGTGGGACCCAAAAAGCAAAAAGCAAAATATAAATAAATAAATAAGTAAAAAATAATTTTTTTTAATTAAAAAAAATTTTTTTTATCGCTCCAGGTCTGGAGCGATAGCAGAGCGGTAGGGCGTTTGCCTTGCACGCAGCCAACATGGCCGGCCCGAGTTCGATTCCTCTGCCCCTCTCGGAGAGCCCGGCAAGCTACCGAGAGTATTCGATATGCCAGACACAGTAACAACAAAGTCTCCAATGGAGACGCTACTGGGCCTGCTCGAGCAAATTGATGATCAACGGGAGGGCCTTTACCTTTACTTTACTAAAAAATAAATAAATAAATAGAAAAAAATAAATAAAAGCCCCAACAGGCCCCAAATCACAGAGCTTGATCTGGCAGATGGAGAGAAGCGAAGACGCCCCTGGATGTTCTGTTGATGGCCCCAGAGCAGACGACCTGGTGGACAGTTTGGGGGGTTTGGAGGGTGGGGGGGCACAGGGAAGGGCCCCGCCCCCACCGCCGGGGTCTGCAGGGTTCCTGAGGGTGAGGCTGTGCGCGGGGGTGAGTCCTGGCTGGGGTCCCGAGCCGCTCTAATTATTTATACCCGCAGACAAGCGTTAATGAGCTCTGGGGGTGCGCTCGGTGCCAGGTGCCTTCCGGGGTCCCCCCCCACGCGCGCCCCAGCCGCAGACATCTGCTGGTGCAGGCTCTGGGGGGTCTTCCACCACCCCCCACCCCCAGACTCAGTCACCAGCACAGATTCCCAAGGAGGGCACCCCCGAGTTGGCCTGGGCTCGCCCACCCCAGGCTCAGCTGGGAAACCGGGGTCCCCACACCGGGCTTGGTCCCGGCATGGGGCAACCATCTCAAGTGCCCTGTGGACATCCCCAAAACTCCCATCTTGGGGCTGGAATGATAGCACGGTGGGTAGGGCGTTGGCCTGGCACGCAGCTGACCCGGGTTCAATTCCCAGCATCCCATAGGGTTCCCTGAGCACCGCCAATTCAAACTTTTGAATTTTTATTATTATTATTATTGTTAATTATTATTCGCATGCAGCCAAGATGGCCGACCCGAGTTCGATTCCTCCGCCCCTCTCGGAGAGCCCGGCAAGCTACCGAGAGTATCTCGCCCGCACGGAAGAGCCTGGCAAGCTCCCCGTGACGTATTCGATATGCCAGACACAGTAACAACAAAGTCTCCAATGGAGACGTTCCTGGGCCCGCTCGAGCAAATCGATGAACAACGGGAGGGCAGTGACAGTGATTATTATTATTATTATTATTATTATTTTTATTATTTTCTTTTTGGGTCCCACCTGGCAATGCTCAGGGCTGACTCCTGGCTCTGCACTCAGGGCTGACTCCTGGCTCTGCACTCAGGGATCACTCCTGGGGAGCATTGCTGGGCAGCTGGGGGCCACACCCCCCAAACTGTCCACCCGGTCACCCGCTCCGGGGCCATCAACAGAACATCCTGGGGGTCTTTGCTTCTCTCCATCTGCCAGATCTAGTGCAGAGCCAGGAGGAACCCCTGTGCATCGCCAGGTGTGACCCTAAAAGCAAAAAAACCAAAAAACTCCCGTCTTGTCCTGGTGGATACTGGAGTCCACCAGGACTGTTAGCCCGGAGAACCCAGGCACAGGGTCCCCCCGCGGCCAGGGCTGGGGTCCAGAGAACTGTGTTGGCCCTGAATCGGGGCACCGCTCCACACCCACTTACTGGCTTGGCTTCCCGGGCGGTACCAGAGCATGTTGCCGTGTGGGCCATGCCAGGATGGGGGTGGCAGGCACGTGCCAAGTCAAAGAACCAGCCCTGGGGGTGGAGGGAAGAGAGAGGAGTGGAGAGGGGCTTGTGCGCAGCCGACCCGGGTTCCATCCCCACCCGGGAGTGGTCCCCAAGCACAGAGTCGGGAGGAAGTCCTGAGCACCGCCAGATGTGCACACTGCCAAAGAAATAAAATGATTTGTGGATCTTTTTTTTTTTTCCTCCTTGGCTTTTGGGTCCCACCCGGCGATGCTCTGGGCTGACTCCCGGCTCTGCACTCAGGACTCCCTCCTGGCGGTGCTTGGGGGGCCCTAGGGGATGCGGGGGGTCAAACCCGGGTCGGCTGCGTGCCAGGCCAACACCCTCCCTGCTGTGCTATCGCTCCAGCCCTGGAACTTTTGAATTTTGATTATTATTATTATTTTCTTTTTGGGTCTCACCCGGTGATGCTCAGGGCTGACTCCTGGCTCTGCACTCAGGAATCACTCCTGGGGGTGCTTGGGGGACCCTAGGGGATGTCGGGGATCGAACCCGGGTCGGCCGTGTGCAAGGCCAACGCCCTCCCCACTGTGCTATGGCTCCGGCCCGACCTAATTTGTGAATTTTCTCTCTTGGGGTCCTAGGGACTTAGGGAATTCCCGGGAGTCTGTGGGCAGTGAGGGAGCCCCTCTTACTTGGAGTCAAGCTCACTGTTGTCTCATGGCCTCTACAGGCAGCCCGCCCTCGCCAGCTTTCAGCCAGTTCCATTCATTCATTCATTCTTTCATTCATTCATTCTGCTCCATCCCCAGGGGCCCCTGGGCTGAGAACCAGCCTGTAAGGACGAAGCCCCCCGAACGAGGCTGGCTGTGTTCCTGTCCTCTTGTCCCCCTCAAAGAAAATTTCCTCCCCCGGGGCTGGAGCAATAGCACAGCGGGGAGGGCGTTTGCCTTGCACGCGGCCAACCCGGGTTCGATTCCCAGCATCCCATAGGGTCCCCCGAGCACTGCCAGGAGTAATTCCCGAGTGCAGAGCCAGGAGTAACTCCTGAGCATTGCTGGGTGGGACCCAAAAAGCCGAAAAAAAAAAGTTTTCTCCCCCTTACCCCCCATCACCCACTGTTCTGGATCTGGGGGTGAAGGAGGTCCGGGAGGCCCCTGACCAGCGTGTCCACCCCGACACAGTGCTCAGCGCCAGTCTCTCTGCCTCCACGGACCCGGCTGTGCCTTGCAGTTGGCTTGTGTCGGGATTGGAGTCTTGGGCATTTTCCTCATTTGGGGGGGACTCTCGGGGGTCCTTCAGCAGCCCCCCAAGGTCCTAGGAGGGGAAAGGATGGGTGGGGGGCATTGCTGGGAGGCCGGGGGCCACACTGACCTTCTCACATCCTGTCCCTCTTTTTTCCCCGCAGGAGTGGGTGACGGCCACCGACATCCGGGTCACTCTCAACCGCCTGAACACTTTCGGGGACGAGGTGTTCAGTGACCCCAAGGTCCTCAAATCTTACTACTACGCCATCTCTGATTTTGCAGTGGGCGGCAGGTAAGGGAACCCCAAGGGGTCCCCTCAGGGAAGCCAAGGGCTGTGGTCTGGCCAAAGAGAGTCACAGGGGCAGGAGCTTAATGTCCCCTGGCCTTGGGGGGGAGAGTTGGGGACAGGGGGGGCTGTGACCCTGCAGGTGGGAGTGGCATCCCGCCTCCAGCCCGCCCCTCGGGCGCCCCCTCTGGCCCACAGGTGCAAGTGCAACGGCCACGCCAGCCAGTGTGTGCGGGACCGGCGGGGCCAGCTGGTGTGTGACTGCAAGCACAACACCCAGGGCGTGGACTGCGAGAAGTGTCTGCCCTTCTTCAACGACCGCCCGTGGCACCGGGCCACGGCCGAGAGCGCCAACGAGTGTCAGCGTGAGTGGCCGCCCAGCCTGGCGGGATCGGGGTGGGTTGCACCCCCGACGGGTGTGTGTATTGGAGGCAGCTCTGGGCACGTGGGCCCACGGCGTGTGTGCATCTGGGCTGTGTGGCACGTAGCCGGTGTATCTGAGATGCATGCATGTATCTGAGATGCGTGGCCCACAGCATGTGTGCATCTGAGCCGTCGGGATACGTGGCCAGCGGCGTGCATGTGTCTGGGCCACGTGGTCCACGGCATGTGTGCATCTGAGCCGCCTGGTACATGGCCTGCAGCTTGGCACGTGGGTGTCTGCCGTTTGTATGTGTCTGGGGACACGTGGCCCATGGCCTGGGTCCAAGGCGCATGGCCTGTGGTGTGCATGTATTGGAGGGAGTTGCGGGGGTTTTCCATGCCGAGTCTCCATGTGCTCCGTGAGAAGTGAAGGTTTGGGGTTTTTCCGAGTCTTTTATTAGTATTTCTTGGTGCCCCACTCACGGGCCTCAGAGGACCCTGCGTTACTGGGGTTGGAGCCCAGGACCCCCGCCTGCAAAGCCCGTGTCTCCCTCTGAGGGGTTTAAATCCCCTTGATGGGCTTGAGCAATAGCATAGCGGGGAGGGCGTTGGTCTGCACGCGGCCGACCCGGGTTCGATCCCCGGCATCCCATAGGGTCCCTCCCAGCACCGCCAGGAGTGATTCCTGAGTGCAGAGTCAGCCCTGAGCATTGCTGGGTGGGACCCCAAAAGCCAAATAATAATAATGATAATAATAATAAAGAGGAAAGGTTTGGGCCAGAGCAATAGCACAGCAGGGAGGGCGTTGGCCCGGCACGCGGCCGACCTGGGTTCGATCCCCGGCATCCCCATGAGGTGCCCCGAGCCCCGCCAGGAGTGATCCCTGAGTGCAGAGCCAGGAGGAACCCCCTGAACTGGGCCGGGTGTGACCCCCCGAACCCCCAAGTAAAATGAAATGAAAACGTCACTCACCCCGGGAAGTGGCCCCAGCGCAGCGCCCGTTGCCTTCGGCCCACAGCCTGCGACTGCAGCGGCCGCTCCCAGGAGTGCTACTTCGACCCCGAGCTCTACCGCTCCACGGGCCACGGCGGCCACTGCACCAACTGCAGGGACAACACGGACGGGCCCAAGTGCGAGAGGTGCCGGGAGAACTTCTACCGCCTGGGAGCCCGCGACGCCTGCACCCCGTGCCACTGCAGCCCCGTGGGTAAGTGACGGCCTGGGCCCCGCCCCCTCGCCGGGCCCCGCCCTATCCAGGCCCTGCCCCTCACTGGGTCCCGCCCCTCTCCAGGCCCCGCCCCTCGCCGGGCTCCCTCCCTCACTGGGCCCCGCCCCTTGCCAGGCACCGCCCACCCCAGGCACCGCCCCTGATTGGGTCCCGCCCCTCCCCAGGCCCTGCCCCTCACGGGATCCTGTCCATCTCCAGGTCCCGCCTCTCACCAGGGCCCTGCCCCCTCACCGCGTCCCGCCCCTCACCAGGCCCCGCCCCCTCACCAGGTCCTGCCCCCTCGTGCCCCCGCCCCCTCTTCAGGCCCCGCCCCTCACCAGGTCCTGCGCCCTCACTGGGCCTTGCCCCTCACCAGGTCCTGCCCCCTCAACGGGCCCCGCCCCTCTCCAGGCCCCGCCCCTCACCAGGTTCTGCTCCCTCGCTGGCCCCGCCTCCTCGCTAGGCCCCGCCCCCTCACCAGGTCCTGCCCCTCGCTGGCCCCGCCCCTCTCCAGGCCCCGCCCCTCACCAGATTCTGCGCCCTCGCTGGCCCCGCCCCTCTCCAGGCCCCGCCCCTCACCAGATTCTGCGCCCTCACTGGGCCTTGCCCCTCACCAGGTCCTGCCCCCTCACCGGGCCCCGCCCCCTCACCGGGTCCCGCCCCTCTCCAGGCCCCGCCCCTCACCAGGTTCTGCTCCCTCGCTGGGCCCCGCCTCCTCGCTAGGCCCCGCCCCCTCACCAGGTCCTGCCCCTCGCTGGCCCCGCCCCTCTCCAGGCCCCGCCCCTCACCAGATTCTGCCCCCCCCCCGCTGGGCCCCGCCCCTTCACCAGCCCCACTGCGGGCGCTGGCCTCTGCCGCCTGGTGTTTGGGTGTCACATGGCCCCTGCCCTGGGCCCTCTCCAGCGTCCCCACCCATGTGTTGACCAATGCAGACTGTCCCCCGGAGCAGCGAGCCGGTGGGGGGGTGAACTCGGGTGGGGCAGCCCGTCGGAGACCCTGGGTGTGCACGTGTCTGTGTGTGTGCGCCTGTTTTGTGTATCTGTGTCTGCACGTGTGTCAGCATGTGTGTCCGGCTAGGAAAGCGTGTGTCTGTGTGCGTGTCTGCAGGTGTGTGTGTATGTATATCTGCATCTGTGTCGCCATGTCTGTGTGCGTGTCTATGTGCATGTGTGCGTGTGTATGCACACGTGTGACTGTGTTATCTGCATGTGTGTCTGTCTGCATGCGTGTGTCTGTATGCATGTCTGCGTGTGTGTATGTATATCTGCTTCTGTCTGCATGTCTGTGGGTGTGCGTGTCTGTGTGCGTGTGTGTATGCACATGTGTGTCTATATCTGCATCTGTGTCTGTGTCTGTATGTGTGTCTGTGTATGTATGTCTGCGCGCATGTAAGGTATATTTGCATCTTTGCACGTCTGTATGTGTGCTTTTCTGTGTGTGTGTGTGCCTGTGTCTCAGTATGTGTGTCTGTGTATGTATCTGCATGTCTGTGTGCGTGTGTCTGTGCGTGTGTGTGTGTGCCCCGGGTCCGAACGCCCTGCCTGCAGAGCCAAGCCAGGCTAGGTGCCCAGTTCCCGGGCGCGGCTCGCTGTCCCTGTCCTCTCCCCTCACGCACCCGGGGGCTCTGCATTCCAGGTTCTCTGAGCACCCAGTGTGACAGCTACGGCAGGTGCAGCTGTAAGCCGGGAGTGATGGGGGACAAGTGTGACCGCTGCCAGCCTGGGTTCCACTCCCTCACGGAGGCGGGCTGCAGGTAAGGCCGCAGGGCTGGCCGGGGGTTGCGGGGACCCCAGTTGTGGGGGGCCCACAACCGCACCAGCCCTTTCCCCGCAAATGCCAGGAAGGGTCCACGTCCCCAGCGGACGCGTGTCCTGGCTGGACACCTTGGCCTGAGCGTCCTCGCGGTGGGCGTGGCTTTCTCGGTGGGCGGGGCCCTGCTGCCCGTCCCAGACTGTTTCCAATGCGCTTTTAGTTGACGATCTAGTTTGATTGGGGAAATAAACACGACCTCCAACCCGCGAGGCGCAAAGTTGGCAGGAAGGCGGGGCTTTCCCCTCTCTGCTCTGTGCTCGGCGCTCAGTGCTCGGCCGTCCGGCCGCCTCCCCTCCCGCAGGCCCTGTGTCTGTAACCCTTCGGGCAGCGTGGACGAGTGCAACGTGGAGACGGGGCGCTGCGTCTGCAAGGAGAACGTGGAGGGCTTCAACTGCGAGAGGTGGCTGCTCCTTGCTCCGGCCCCGGGGGGGGGGTTGCAGTGGGGTGGGGGGGACCCCCGCGGCTGCCGGCAGGAGCAGCCCTGAGGGCAGCTACGCCCCCTTTTCAGGTGCAAACCCGGATTTTTCAACCTGGAGCCCTCGAATCCCAAGGGCTGCGCCCCCTGCTTCTGCTTCGGACACTCGTCGGTCTGCACCAATGCCGTGGGCTACAGCGTGTACGCCGTCACCTCCACCTTCCAGATCGGTAATCGAGCCCCTTCCAGTTGTGATGGTGGTGGCATTTTGGTGGCAGTGCCGGGGTGCCACTCATGGCTCCAGCCTGAGGAGCACACGCTTCGGACCCCTGAGCCCGACCCCTCGAGGTGTTTTGATCGCGACAACTCCAGAAACTCGTTAATGGACCTTTTTCAGGGGCACCAGTTGGGGGTCAGCCCCGGGAGGCGGCATGCGGTCATCCCCCCAGTCCCGTCCTGCCTCCTGACCCCACTTTTGCAGGAAAACGTGGTGTTTTGAAATGGGCAGCGCCCATAAACCAGTGCAGTGGGTGCCCCCCTCCGTCCCCGGGGAAGGCCCCCCTTGGCCCACCTGGCGTCGTCTCTGTGGACGTTTGCGAGGTGGCAGGGCCCTAACGAGGGGTGTTTGCCTTCTCCCGGCGCGCCCCCGCCCCCGTGCACCCGCAGACGACGATGGCTGGCACGCCGAGCAGAGGGACGGCTCCGACGCCTCGCTGGACTGGTCCGCAGAGCGCCAAGACGTGTCTGTCATCTCTGACAGCTACTTCCCGAGATACTTCATCGCTCCAGGTGGGCGGGGCCTGTGGGTGGGGCTGCGTGGGCGTGGCTTCCGCTGGGGGTACGTGGGCGTGGTTTTCGTGGAGGTTTCCATTGGGTCGGGCTGTGTGGGGGTGTGGCTTCGGTTGGATGGGCACCGTGGGGCGTGGCTTCCATGGGATGGGGCTACGTGGGGGCGTGGCTCCCATTGGGTGGGGCTATGTGAGGGCGTGGCTTCTGTTGGGTGGGGTTTTATGAGGGTATGGCTTCTATAGGTGGGCTCCAGGTGGGCGGGGCTGTGTGGGGGCGTGGCTTCCACTGGGTGAAGCTACGTGGGCGTGGTTTTCATGGAGGTTTCCATTGGGTCGGGCTGTGTGGGGGCGTGGCTTCGATTGGCTGGGCACCGTGGGGCGTGGCTTCCATTGGATGGGGCTACGTGGGGGCGTGGCTTCCATTGGGTCGGGCTATGTGGGGCGTGGCTCCCATTGGGTGGGGCTATGTGGGGCGTGGCTTCTGTTAGGTGGGTTTTTATAAGGGCATGACTTATGGGTGGGCTCCAGATGGGCGGGGCCTACATGGGGGCGTGGTTTCCATTGTGGCTTCCATTGGGTGGGGCTGTGGTGGGGGTGTGGCTTCTGTTGGGCAGAGTTCTATGAGGGCGTGACTCCTATGGGTAGGGCTCCTGGTGGGCGGGGCCTACGTTGGGGCGTGGATTTTATTGTGGCTTCCATTGGGTAGGGCTATGTGGGGGCGTGACTCCCATTGGGTGGGGCTATGTGAGGGCGTGGCTTCTGCTGGGCGGGGTTCTATGAGGGCGTGACTCCTATAGGTGGGGCTCCAGTGGGCGGCTGGTGGGTGGGGCTATATGGGGGTGTGGCTTCAGGTGGGTGGGGCGCCGTCGGGGAATGATTTCCATTGGTTGGGGCTGTGTGGGGTGTGGCTTTTGTTGGGCGGGGTTCTGTGAGGGCTTGACTCCTATAGGTGGGGCTCTGGAGGGCGTGGCTACTGGTGGGTGGGGCTCTGGAGGGCGTGGCTTCTATGGGCGGGGCTCTATGGGGTGTGGCTCCTATAGGTAGGGCTCCAGGTTAGTGGGGCTTCCTGTGCGTGTGGTTTTTGGGTGGGTGGGGTCACTGGGAAGGGGGACTCGCCGTGGGCGGGGCAGGTGGGCGTGGCGTCCTGGTGGGCGTGGCCCTGCCTGCCTGGCCCGAGTGGTCACTCTCCCCTCCTCCCCCCTGATCCTGCATCTGCCTTGCAGCCAAGTTCCTGGGCCAGCAGGTGCTGAGCTACGGTCAGAACTTTTCCTTCTCCTTCCGCGTGGACCGGCGGGACACCCGCCTGTCCGCCGAGGACGTGGTGCTGGAGGGGGCCGGCCTGCGGGTGTCGGTGCCCCTGATCGCGCAGGGCAATGCCTACCCCAGCGAGACCGCCGCGAAATACGTCTTCAGGTGAGGCTCCCACCAGCCAGCCTGCAGCCCCCAGCTAAGCCCTTGGCCTGGGTGAGAGGGTCCCGGCTGAGACGGGCCTGGCCCTCCCTGCATCCACAGGCTCCACGAGGCCACTGATTACCCCTGGAGGCCCACCCTGAGCCCTTTCGAGTTCCAGAAACTCCTGAACAACCTGACGGCCATCAAGATCCGTGGGACCTACAGCGAGAGGAGTGAGTGTGGACACTGTCGGGGCGGGGGGCTTGGAGCCCACCCTGCGTCCCGGGAGGGGGAGCCCGTGTCTCACACGGAGACTGAGCGCCAGACAGCGGGAGGCCCGGTACTGTGTCCTGTGCGGTGGGGCCCACGCAGGGCTCGCTCTGTTGAAACAGTTACTTAAGACGCAGGGAGAAAATATTTCGGGCTCTCCTTGCATCCTCGGGGGTGCGGGGATGGACCCGGGTCGGCTGTGTGCAGGGCCGTTGCAATATTGCCTGGGTGTCTGCTCCAGCCTCTTATGGAGTTGTTACATCCACGTTTGAGGAGCGGGTCAGCTCCCAGCTCTGTGTATACTTGTGTGTGCCAGTGTGGACTCACACGTGTGCCCGCGTGAGCCTGTGATCCTGCAGTTTCTGGCCCCCGGGAGTGGAGTGCAGGATCCTTCCCCATCTTTAACCCACCCTCCCCCCACACACACAGGTGCAGGCTACCTGGATGACGTCACCCTGGCCAGCGCCCGCCCCGGGCCCGGCGTCCCTGCCACCTGGGTGGAGGCGTGCACCTGCCCGGCGGGCTACGGGGGGCAGTTCTGCGAGACGTGTCTCCCCGGCTTCCGGAGGGAGACCCCCAGCCTCGGGCCTTACAGCCCCTGCGTGCTCTGCACTTGTAACGGACACAGCGAGTCCTGTGACCCCGAGAGTGGTGAGGGGGACCCCGGGGGTGGTGAGGGGGACCCCGGGGGTGGTGAGGGGGACCCCTGGGGTAGAGGGGAGGTAGGGCCGGGGGTTGGCACTGACCCCCCACCCCCGACAGGCGTGTGCAGCTGCGCCCATAACACGGCCGGCCCCCACTGCGAGAAGTGCGCCGACGGCTACTACGGGGACGCCACGGCGGGCACCCCCACCGACTGCCAGCCCTGCCCGTGCCCCGGCGGCTCCAGCTGTGCCCAGGTGCCCAGGACCGGGGAGGTGGTCTGCACCAACTGCCCCACCGGCACCACCGGTGAGTGACCCCCCCCCCACCCAGACCCCGCACCTTGGGGGCAGGTCACGGCAGGGGAGGGGGCGAGACGGGCCAGAGTGTTGGTTTCTGTCTGTCTGGGCCCACCCCCGGCGGTGCTCAGGGGTGACTTCTGGCTCTGTGCTCAGGGCGGACTCCCGGCTCTGTGCTCACGGGTGACTCCTAGCAGGGCTCCGGAGACCCCTTTGGGATGCCAGGGATCAAACCCAGGTTGTCCATGTGCAAGGCCAGCGCCTTCTCCACGGTGCTGTGACCTCAGTCTCTAGGAAATCCCCCCCACCCCTCACACACACATACTGGCTCTTGGACACCCCCACTGAGATGCAGTAAACTCTCCCCCACCCCCGGCCCATCCCTGACAGGGTCACAGTGTCACGGGGACAAGCACACCTGTGGGTCGGTGCAAATCCAGTTGCTGGCCCTGGGCTGACTCCCCGCCCCATCACACCCCTAATGAAGGATGCCGGCAGAGGACAGAACCACACAGAGAAGAAACACACACACACACACACACACACAGAAACAGAAATGCACACACATGCGCACAGAAACACACACAAACACATATAGAAACACACATACAAACACAGGAGCACACGCACACAGAAACACATACAGAGACACACATGCAGACGTAGACACACAGAAACAGACACACAGAAACACAGATGCACACACAAACAGAAAACACACACATGCGCACGAAAACACATACAGAAACACACATGCAGACATAGACACACAGAAACAGGACACACAGAAACAGAAATGCACACACATGCGCACAGAAACACACACACAAACACTTACAGAAACACACATGCACACACAGACACAAAAACACAGGAACACACGCACACAGAAACACATGCGGAAAAACACATGCAGACATAGACACACAGAAACACACAGAAACACACACAGAAACAGAAATGCACACACATGTGTACAGAAACACACACACAGACACACATAGAAACACATGCACACACAGACACACGACACACCGACACAGAAACACATACAGAAACACACATGCAGACATAGACACAGAAACACAGACACACAGAAACACAGAGAAACAGAAACACACACATGCACACAGAAATACACACACAGAAACACACATGCACAGACACACAGACACACACACATGGGCCAGAGCAACATCCAGTGTGTGGTGTTTGTCTTGCACACAGCCCAGCCCGGCATCCCACAGGGTCCCCTGAGCCCCGCCAGGAGTCAGCCCTGAGCATCGCCAGGTGTGGCCCAAGAAAGCAAAATAAGACACAGACACCAACACCCACACACGCAGCCGGGGGCGAGCCGGGCCGCTGATCCCTCAGAACTTGCCTGTCGCGTCCTCGGGGTGCTGGGCTGGGGCTGAGGATCCAGCCGGGGGGGCCCCCCGCATGCCGGGCAGGGCCCCAGCCCTTTGATCTCCCCTGGGGCCCTGTAGCAGTTAGGCAGGGAGGACGTTAATTGGGTGCGGGTGTGTCTGGAAGGTTCTGCCCCCCTTGGGCCTTTCTCTCCTTCCTCCTCCTCCCTGTCTGCCCCCGCCTCACCCCCGCCACCCCGAACACCCGTACTGGCAGGAACGGGGTGTGGGCACTCCAGCCCCCACTCTGGTCTCAGTCCTGCCACTGCTTGTCTGCCTGTCCCTGGGGGGTCCCAAGAGGGGTCTGGGGTCTCCACTGTCCCCGGGGGTCCCGCAGAGGGATCTGAGGTCCCTGGAGGGTCCCTGGAGGGGTCTGGGGTCCCCACTGTCCCCGGGGGGTCCCGCAGAGGGATCTGGGTTCCGTGGAGGGTCCCTGGAGGGGTCTGGGGTCCCCACTGTCCCCGGGGGGTCCCGCAGAGGGATCTGGGTTCCGTGGAGGGTCCCGCAGAGGGGTCTGGGGTCCCCGCTGTCCCCGTGGCTGGGTGCGGCGAGCCGAGTCCCTCCCGGCTGTCCGTCCCCTGGGGGTGGGGTGGCCTCCCTGGGCAGCGCCTGGCAGTGTCCCCCCGCCCCGCTGACCCGGGTCTGCCCCCCCGGCAGGCAAGCGCTGCGAGCTGTGTGACGACGGCTACTTCGGGGACCCCCTGGGCCAGGCGGGGCCCGTGCGGCTGTGCCGGCCCTGCCGCTGCAGCGACAACATCGACCCCAACGCCGTGGGCAACTGCCACCGGCTGAGCGGCGAGTGTCTCAAGTGCATCTACAACACGGCCGGCTTCTACTGCGACCGCTGCCGCCACGGCTTCTACGGCAACCCCCTGGCGCCCAGCCCCGCCGACAAGTGCAAAGGTGCCTGCCCGCCCTCCTGCCCCTGCTCCCCCTCCTCCCCGCCCTCCTCCCCTGCTCCCCCTCCTCTCCCTCCTCCCCGCTCCCCCTCCTCCCCTTCTCTCCTCCTCCCCGCTCCCCCCTCCTCCTCTCCCTCCTCCCCTGCTCTCCCTCCTCCCTTCCCTCCCCTGCTCTCCTTTCCCTCCTCCCCTGCGCCTCCTCCCGCTCCTCTCCCTCCTCCCCTGCCCTTCCTCCTCCTCTTGCCCCTCCTCCTCCCGCTCCCCTCCCTTCTCCCCTGCTCCTCCTCCTGTTCCTTCTCTTTCCACTCTCCCTCCTCCCCCACCCCTCCTCCTGTTCCTCCTCTTCCCACTCTCCTCTCTCCTCCCCATTTCTCCTCCCGACCCCCACCCCACTCCCCCTCCTCCTCAGCCCCTCCTTCCTCCCCACCCCTCCTCCCCTCTTCCTCCTCCTCTCCCTCCTTCCCTCCTCCCTTTCCTCCTCCCCTGCTCCTCCTCCTCTCCCTCTTCCCCTGCTCTCCTTCCTCCTCTCCCTCCTCCCCTGCTCTCCCTCCTCCCTTCCCTCCCCTGCTCTCCTTTCCCTCCTCCCCTGCGCCTCCTCCCACTCCTCTCCCTCCTCCCCTGCTCTCCCTCCTCCAGCTCCACCTCCTCCTGCTCCCTCTCCTCCCCGGCCCTTCCTCCTCCTCTTGCCCCTCCTCCTCCCGCTCCCCTCCCTCCTCCCCTGCTCCTCCTCCTGTTCCTTCTCTTTCCACTCTCCCTCCTCCCCCACCCTCCTCCTCCTGTTCCTCCTCTTCCCACTCTCCTCTCTCCTCCCCATTTCTCCTCCCGACCCCCACCCCACTCCCCCCCCTCAGCCCCTCCTTCCTCCCCGCCCCTCCTCCCCCTCTTCCTCCTCCTCTTCCTCCTCCTCTCCTTCAGACTCCTCCCTGCCTCCCTTCCTCCCTTTCCTCCTCTCCCTGCTCCCTCCCCTCCTCCCCGGTCCCTGGCTGGCGGGGGCGGGGTGCAGCTGACCTCTCCTCCTGTCCCGCCCCGTCCCATCCCGTGTCTCAGCCTGCAGCTGTAACCCCTTCGGGACGGCCGGGCAGCAGCAGGGCGGCTGCAACGCGGTGACGGGGCAGTGCGAGTGTCTGCCGCATGTGACCGGGCGTGACTGCGGGGCCTGTGAGCCCGGCTTCTACAACCTGCACAGTGGGCGCGGCTGCGACAGGTCAGGCGCGGGGTGGGCGGGGGTGGGGCTCGAACCCGGGGCCACCACATGCCACGTGGGCCGTTCCAGCCCCTGAGCCGTCCTCCGGCCCCTCGGACAGTCCCCAGGGGGCGGGGTGGGAGCGGGGAGCGGCAGCCGGCCCTGTGCCCCGCCCCCCCAGCTGACCAACCTTGCACTGTCACTGTCACGGTCCTCCCCTTGTGCGTCCATTTGCTCGAGCAGGCTCAGTAACGTCTCCATCGTGAGGCTTGTTGTCACTGTGTTCGGCATAGCAGCGAGATACTCTCGGTAGCTTGCCGGGCTCTCCGAGAGGGGTGGGTGGAGGAATCGAACCCGGCTCGGCCGGGCCGGCCGCGCGCAAGGCAGACGCCCTACTGCTGTGCTATTGCTCCAACCTTGCAAAAAATATAAATTAGTGAATAACGTCCTGTCCACGGTGCTCGGAGGAAGCGTCTCAGGGGCTGGAATCGAGGCTGATGCAGTGGGGGTCCCGGAAGTGCCATGCTTGGGGGTCTGGAGAAAGGGTCCCGGCCCGGGGGGGACGCCAGGTCGCCTTCTCACCTGAGAGGGTCCCAGGCTGCCCCTCCACGCCCCCGTGACGCTCTGCCTTCGTCTGCAGGTGCAATTGCCACGCTCTGGGCTCCACCAACGGGCAGTGCGACATCCGCACGGGCCAGTGCGAGTGCCAGCCGGGCGTCACGGGCCAGCACTGCGAGAGCTGTGAGCCCAACCACTTCGGATTCGGGCCCGAAGGCTGCAAACGTAAGCGGCGGGGAGGTCGGCAGCGTGTTACCCCGGCTCCAGCCCTGAGGACTGAGGGGTCCAGGCTGGCCCCTCACGTCACCCAAGGCCCCGTGGTGGCTCCCTCGAGACCACCTGCCCCGGGCTTCGCCCTCTCTGCCCCTCCCGGGTCCCTCTGTTACCCCGGTCCCCTCCTGGGTCCGAGCCGGGAGTCAGAGCCACCTGTGCTCAGGGTTTCACTGGCTCTTGGGTATCGGCTCGGGCCTGATCCCTGAGTCCCACATCCCCGAGTCCCACGTCCCCAAGTCCCATATCCCTGTAGCCCACGTTCCTGTGGCCTGAGTCCCACGTCCCCGAGTCCCGCGTCCCTAAGTCACGCGCCCTCACCTCCCCATCCCCCCACAGCCTGTGACTGCCACCCCGAGGGCTCGCTGTCCCTACAGTGCCGAGACGATGGGCGTTGCCAGTGCCGCCAGGGCTTCGTGGGCACCCGCTGTGACCAGTGCGAGGAGAATTACTTCTACAACCGCTCCTGGCCCGGCTGCCAGGAGTGCCCAGCCTGCTACCGCCTGGTCAAGGACAAGGTGGGCACCGCGGTCACCCACGTGGACACGCGTTCTTATGTTCAGGCACACGCGTGTTCACCCACACCGATACGCGTCCATACATGCACCCACACGTGTGTTCATCCACACGGACACGTGTCCATACATGCACCCACATGCGTGTTCATCCACATGGACACATGTTCATACGTGCACCCACACACGTTGACCCACACTGATACGTGTCCATACATGCACCCACACGTATGTTCACCCACACGAAAACATGTTCATACATGCACCTGCATGTGTGTTCACCCACACAGACACACATCGAAACATGTACCCACACGCATGTTCACCCACACGAAAACTTGTTCATACATGCACCCACACACACATGTTGACCCACACGGACACACATCCATACATGACCCACACGTGTGTTCACCCACACTGATACGTGTCCATACATGAACCCACATGCATGTTCGCCCACACAGACATGCATCGATACATGCACCCACACATGTGTTCACCCACACAGACACGCGTCCATATATGCCCCCGTACACATGTTCGCTGTGCAGACACACATGTCCATACAGTCAAACACATGCGTGTTCACCCGCACAGACACATCCATTTCGGCGACATACATGCACTCACAGCTGTATTCATCTGCACGAACATGCGTCCCACTCAGGCAACATACGTTAACTCACGTGTGTTCACACAAACGTATCTGTTTGTGCAACATGCATTCACTTGTATGTGTTCACCCACGCACGCAATACACGTTCATGTGTTCATGCATGTGTGTTCACCCCAACATACCTGCACCTGTTCACGCATCATGCACTTAATGTGTGTCCGTTACCCATGTTTTCACGTAATGTACATGAAAACGTGTGTTCCATCATGCATGCATCCGTGCGACATGCATCCACTCACACGTGTTCACCCTCACACGGATCCGTTCACGCGGTGGGCGCTCACATGTGTTCATCGTGTATCCATTCACACAACACACATTCACTCAGGCGTGTGCACCCACCGCGTACATCCTTCACACGGGTGCATTCACTCACTCACCTGTGTTCACCCCCACACACGTGTGCATCTGTTCACGCGAGTTGCATTCACCCCTGCGCAGTCCTCCACACGCGTGCATGTCCATTCATGCCGTCCGCATACACTTGTCCACTCACACACACCCATCACTCGTTTAAGCACCCGTTAACTCACGTGTCCATTCACTCACTGCCCCGTGAATCCCCCCTCCCCCCCCCGCCACGTTCCTGCTCTCGTGCTTCTGGTGGGGGACAGAGTCACACTCGAATCCATGAGTCCGAGACACGTTCCAGAGAGTAAAGGGGCGAGAGGTCTGGGGGAGAGGGAGGGAGGGAGGGAGCGTCAGGGCCGGGAGAGCTTCAGGGTGAGAGAGTACGAAGGTCAGCGAGAAGGCCCAGCGGCTGTCCAGCGGCTCCAGGATGCTGGGAGTGCAGGAGCCCACGCTGGGGGGCCGAGTCTGAGCCAGCCGGTGGCCGGGCCGTGTGGCAGGTGGCCGGAAGTGACGTCAGCAGATTCCACCCGAGTCTCCCGGGCTTGGCCTCCCGGAAGGAAGGGACCCTGCATTTCATTCCTGAAGCGGCAGGAAGGCGCAGATGCCCACTCAGGACACTGGCTCTGTCGAAGGAACAGGTGCTGAGGCCGCAACAATGGGACAGGTGGAGAGAGCGCTGGCCTGGCACGCGGCTGGCGAGGGTTCGATCCCTGGCATCCCAGAGGGTCCCTGGAGCCTGGCATCTCTGTGCGTGGCCCAAACCCCAGAAAGAAAAAAAAATCCCAGACAACAAGCAGGAACCAGAGCAGGAAGCTGGAGAGGATTGGAGTCCAGGGGGCCCAGGCGGGGATGGAGTGGGGGTCCTCGGCAGGTGGGGTTGGATCTAGGAATCGGCTTGGTCAGGGTCCCCCAGGAAGAGGGAGAAGCCAGGTGGACGCCAGTGGGACCTTTCTCATCCCCAGGCCTCTGTACTGCTGAGCCCGTGGGGACCCTCACGTCCTCCTCTTTGTTGTTGTTGTTTTTTTTTTTTTTTTGCTTTTTCGGTCCCACCCAGCGATGCACAGGTGTTAACTCCTGGCTCTGCACTCAGGAATTACTCCTGGCGGTGCTCGGGGGATCGTATGGGATGCTGGGGATCGAACCCGGGTTAGCTGTGTGTAAGGCAAGTGCCCTATCGCTGTGCTATTGGCCCAGCCCAAAAAATATGATTTTTTTTTTTAGCTTTTTGGGTCACAGTTGGCAATGCACAGGGTTCCTCCTGGCTCATGCACTCAGGAATTACTCCTGGTGGTGCTTAGGGGACCCTATGGGATGCTGGGAATTGAACCCGGGTCGGCTGCGTGCAAGGCAAACGCCCTATCTGCTGTGCTATTGCTCCAGCCCCAAAATATGATTTTTTTTTCAGCTTTTTTGGGTCACACTCGGCAAAGCAGAGGGGTTCCTCCTGGCTCATGCACTCAGGACCCTATGGGATGCTGGGAATCGAACCCAGGTCGGCCGTGTACAAGGCGAACGCCCTCCCCTCTGTGCTATGGCTCCGGCCCCATCATGTCCCCCTCTTTATCCCCCGTGGAATTCAGGTGGCAGAGCACCGGGCCAGGCTTCGGGAGCTGGAAGATCTCATCGCCGACCTGGGCACCGGTGACGAGGCAGTGACGGACCAGGCCTTCGAGGACAGACTGAAGGAGGCCGAACGGGAGGTCACGGACTTGCTCCGGGAGGCGCAGGACGTCAAAGGTACGACCCTGTGATGTCTATGTTGGGTGGGACCCCTGTTCTGCACCACCCTGAGGCCCAGGAGAATTTCTGAGGCACCGGGGAAGACTCAGTTCCAAGTGCTCCACAGACGGGAATGACACGATTGGCTTTCTTCATCTCGGGGTCTCCCAGAGCGCAGGGCACCTCAGGGCCACTCATGGGCGTGCTCACATGGGCGGCCATGCGCGGCCAAGATTCGAACCCAGGACCTGCCTTCCAGGCACACATAGGCCCGCCCCTTGCACCATCTTCCCGGGTTGTCCACATGCGAGGCCAACGCCCTCCCTGTTGGACTATCAGTCCAGCTCAAATCACTGTTTTCACATCAGAGCTTTTGTGTGTTTGTTGGGCATGGGGGTGTCTTAGCAGACGAGTACGTGAAAGTCGCTTTGGGAGCCGGAGCACAGCGGGGCGGGTGTTGGCCTTGCACGCAGCCGAGCCGGGTTCGATCCCCGGCATCCCAGAGGGTCCCCTGAGCACTGCCAGGAGTGAGTCCTGAGTGCAGAGCCAGGAGTCAGCCCTGAGCATCGCTGGGTTTTGGACCTCCAGGATTTTCTCTCTGCTTGCCACTGTGTAAAACCAGGGGTGTGGTGCTGAGGCACTGGGGCCCCGGGGACCCCGGATGCACCACCAGGGACAGTGCCAGGGGTGCGGGGGGGTATCTGAGGAGGTATGTTGGGTCACAAGACCACCTGACCAGCCAGGAGCCATTAATACTATTGGCAAGAAGCCCACCCTTTCGTTGTAATGCGCCCACACACATGTGGCATCTAAAACGGGAGCTGCAGTGTCTCTTTTTGGGTTTTTTTTGGGGGGGGTGTTGTTGCTACCCCCGGCAGTGCTCAGGGCTCACTCCCGATGGTGCTCAGGGCACCCTCTGCCGTTCCCGGGGGTCCTGTCCAGGCCTCCCTCTCTCACACGCATGCGTCGAGCCTGTGCTCATCCATGCCCGGGCGTCTTGCCTCCGCAGACGTGGACCAGAACCTGCTGGACCGTCTGCAGAGGGTCAACAACAGCCTGAGCAGCCAGGTCGGCCGCCTGCAGAACATCCGCAGGACGGTGGAGGAGACCAGGGACCTGGCCGAGCAGGCGCGCGTGCGGGTGGACAGCACCGAGCAGCTCATCGAGATCGCAGCCCGCGAGCTGGAGAAGGCCAAGGTGGCCGTGGCCAACGTGGTGAGTGGGGGCGCAGGGGAGGGCGCGCCTGAGCTCCGTTGTGTCCACGCGGAAAGTCCGGGGCAGGCTGGTTCTGGCACGGCCGCTTCCGTGGCTCGGCCGTTTTCGTGGATCAGCCACTTCCGTGGCTCATTCAATGTCTGTGGTTTGTTCACTTCCATGACTCAGCCAGTTCTATGGTTTGTTTGCTTCTGTGGCTTGGCCGCTTTCGTGGCTTGGCCGCTTCTGTGGCTCGGCCGCTTCTGTGGCTCGGCCGCTTTTGTGGCTTCAGCCACTTTCGTGGTTTCAGCCGCTTTCATGGCTCGGCGACTTCCGTGGCTTGGCCGTTATCGTGGCTTGGCCGCTTCCATGGCTCAGCCGCTTCTGTGGTTCTTCCGCTTTCGTGGCTCAGCCGCTTCTGTCACTCATTCAACATCTGTGGTTTGTTCACTTCTGTAGCTCAGCTACCTCCTTGGTTCATTTGTTTCCGTGGCTCAGCCGCTTCCGTGGCTCGTTTGCTTTATGGCTCGGTCACTTCTGTGGTTCGTTTGCTTTCATGGCTCGGCCACTTCTGTGGGTCAGCTGCTTCTGTGGCTCGGCCGCTTCCATGGCCCTGCCGCTTCTGTGGTTTGTTCGCTTTCCTGGCTCGGCCGCTTCCGTGGCTCATTCAGCGTCTGTGGTTTGTTCACTTTCATGGCTCAGCTACCTCCGTGGTTCGTTTATTTCCATGGCTCGGCTGCTTCCGTGGCTCGTTTGCTTGATGGCTCGGCCACTTCCGTGGTTCGGCCTCTGTGCCACAAGGCGGATTTTTTTACCTGCCTCTGGCGAGGAAAGAAGCCGCCCTCGGCAGGTCTCAGTAGGGGGGATCTCTCGCAGGAGGGGCCGGTGTGGGCCTTCAGGGAAAGGCTTCAGATGGGGTGTCCCCGGGACAGCGACCCCGTGGGACGTCGGTGAGTCAGGGTCAGGGTGACACTGTGTGTCTCCTCTCAGTCCATCACGCAGCCCGAGTCCACCGGCGACCCCAACAACATGACGCTCCTGGCAGAGGAGGCACGGGCGGCTTGCAGAACGGTGAGTGGCTGTGGCTTGGTCTCCCATTTTTTTGGTGCATAGTGTCCGCCAGCCCCCCAAGGCATGCTCCAGTGCCCGCTCCCGGCAGCCGCTGTGGATGTGCACGGACCCCCTGCATCTCCACTGCAGTGACCTCGTGGGGGGGCGGCAGGTAGGGAACTCGTGGTAAGGGACATAAGCTGGCGGTTCTTGTGGCGCTTGGCCACTGGGCCACGTGTCTGTGTGATTAGAACTGATTAGAACTTCCAGAATATGTGCTGGAGGGCGTTGGCCTGGCACGCGGCCGACCCGGGTTCGATCCCCGGCATCCCCTAGGGTCCCCTGAGCACCGCCAGGAGTGAGCCCTGAGTGCAGAGCCGGGAGTCAGCCCTGGGCATTGCCGGGTGGGACCCAAAAAGCAAAATAATAATAATAAAATAATAATATCTGGTCCATCGCCCAGTTCAGCACCTTGATCAATATCTGATCCATCCATAGGGGCTGGAGCGATAGCACAGCGGGTAAGGCATTTGCCTTGCACGCAGCCGACCCAGGTTCGATCCCTGGCATCCCATAGGGTCCCCCGAGCACCGCCAGGAATGACTCCTGAGTGCAGAGCCAGGAGTAACCCCCGAGCATCACTAGGTGTGACCCTAAGTGACAAAATTTAAATAAAACTTCCCAGTACATGGCTCTCAGCCCAAAAGGGTCATGTACATCTGTGTGATAAGGGGTCCAGTCCTTGGACATGTGGGGGTGTGGGTCTGTGTGCCCCGCATGTGGTTAGGACCCTGGTGTCGTGGCTGGGTGTGAAGTGGCCCAGGTAAGGCTGTCCCCGGCCTTGGGCATCGCTCGGCCCACTCGGCTGTTGCTGGTGCCAGCAGAGGCTGGTGTGACTCCCCCCCGCCCCGAGGGGCGCCCAGCCTCACCCCCTCTCTCCGGGTTTCCCTCCAGCCACAAGCAGGAAGCTGACGACATCGTCCGCGTGGCCCAGACGGCCAATGAGACCTCGGCGGAGGCCTACAGCCTGCTTCTGCGCACGCTGGCCGGGGAGAACCAGACGGCTCTGGAGATCGAGGAGCTCAACAGGAAGTGGGTGATGCTGCAGACGGGTGACAGGGGAGAGGGAGGGAGGGAGGGAGGGAGAGGGAGAGAGAGATTGATTCTTGTTGGGGCCAGAGCCATAGCACGGCGGGGAGGGTGCTTCCCTTCCATGAGGCCAACCCGGGTTCGATCCCTGGCATCCCATAGGGTTCCCCGAGTACCGCCAGGAGTGATTCCTGAGCGCAGAGCCGGGAGTCAGCCCTGAGCACTGCCTAGTGTGAGTCCTGAGCACAGAGCCAGGAGTTAGTCCTGAGCACAGAGCCGGGAGTCAGCCCCGAGCACAGAGCTGGGAGTGAGCCCTGAGCACAGAGCCAGGAGTGAGCCCTGAGCACTGAGTCGGGAGTCAGCCCTGAGCACAGAGCTGGGAGTCAGCCCTGAGCATCACCAGAAGTCAGCCCTGAGCATAGAGCTGGGAGCGAGCCCTGAGCACAGAACCAGGAGTCAGCCCTGAGCACAGAGCCGGGAGTCATCCCCGAGCACAGACCCGGGAGTCACAGAGCCAGGAGTCAGCCCCGAGCACAGAGCCAGGAGTCAGGCCTGAGCAGAGCCAGGAGTCAGCCCTGAGCACTGAGCACTGACACAGGAGTCAGCCCTGAGTACAGACCCGGGAGTGAGCCCCGAGCACAGAGCCAGGAGTCAGCCCCGAGCACAGAGCCGGGAGTCAGTCCCGAGCACAGACCTGGGAGTCAGCCCTGAGCACTGAGTCGGGAGTCAGCCCCGAGCACAGAGCCGGGAGTGGGCCTTGAGCACAGAGCCGGGAGTCAGCCCCGAGCACAGAGCCGGGAGTCAGCCCCGAGGCCCCCAGGCGGGCAGACCAACGCCGAGTGGCGCCTCCTGCCGCAGGTACGAGCAGGCCAAGAACATCTCGCGGGACCTGGAGCGGCAGGCGGCGCTCGTGCACGAGGAGGCCCAGCGGGCGGGCGACAAGGCCGTGGAGATCTACGCCAGCGTGGCCCAGCTGGCGCCGGTGGACTCGGAGGCGCTGGAGGTAGGCGGGACCCTGCCCGCCCCCCACGCACCCGCAGAGATGCCCACGCCCCGTCGGGGTCCGAGACGTTCCGGGGGCCCGAGACCCTCCCCGGCCCTTGGACACTGGATCCTAACGGGGGGCCCAGGCCGTGCTGACCGGTTCCGGCCCGTTCCAGATCTGGACCGTTGATGCTTCCGAGGCCTGTAGTTCGTGCCCCCAGGGGCTCTGGGGGAGGACTCGGACCCGTGTGCTGGATCTGTGTTTTTCTGGCTGTCTCGGGCCTCTGTGGCTTTGCTGGGGTCTGACGTTGGCGCTTCCTGGGAAGGGCGGGCTGGGGTCCCCCCAAGGGGCCCCAAATCCATGTGAGGGGTCTGGAGACGGGAGGGGTGGGGCCGGGGGGAGATCACGCGGGGCTCCCTAGGGTGGAGAGACTGTGTCCGTGGGGCTGCTGCTCACCTGACACTCATCAGAGCTGCAGAAACTCACCCCACGGAGATCAGGGAGATCAGGGTCGGAGCAACAGCACATTGGGGAGGGTGTTGGCCTGGCACGTGGCTGACCCGGGTCCCATAGGGTCCCCCGAGCACCAGCCAGGAGTGATTCCTGAGTGCAGAGCCAGGAGCCAGCCCTGAGCATTGCTGGGTGAGACCCAAAAAGCAAAAAAAAAGAAAAACATTAATTAGATTAAAATAAATAAAATAAAATTCAGGTAGAATGTTCAGGCACTGAAAGTCACTTTTCAGGATCCGGAGAGACAGCTAGCACGCAGGTCGTGTTTGCCTCGCACGTGCCCAACCAGCTTTGATCCCGGGCATCCCAGATGTCCCCTGAGCCCACTAAGTGAGCCCAGAGCACAGAGCTGGGAGTCAGTCCTGAGCCCAGAGCCAGGAGTCAGCCCTGAGCACAGCCGGGAGTGAGCCCCGAGCACCAGCGGGTGTGGCTCCAAAGCGATACAGCTCGTGATTATTTTGTTCTGACAACAACCCCCGTCCTCCTCCCAGAACGAGGCGAACAGAATCAAGAAGGAGGCGGAGGAGCTGGAGCACCTGATGGGGCAGAAGCTGCGCGACTACGAGGCGCTGCGGGAGGACATGCAGGGCAAGGAGCTGGAAGTCCGGGGGCTGCTGGACAAGGGCAAGACGGAGCAGCAGGTGGGCGGGGAGCCGCGGGGGCGGGGGCGGGGAGGGGGCCGGGCAGCCCCGGCTCGGCTCTGACATGCGTTTGTCCGCAGACGGCCGACCAGCTGCTGGCGCGGGCCGACGCGGCCAAGGCCCTGGCCGAAGAGGCCGCCAAGAAGGGGCGAGACACGCTGCAGGAGGCCACGGACATTCTCAACAACCTGCGGGGTGCGGGCCCCCCCCCGGCAGAGGGAGGGGGCCAGGGAGGGAGTTCCGTGTGTGTGTGTGTGCGCGCGCGCATGTGGCTGCATGTCTGTGTGTGTGCATATGTCACTGCATGTCTGTGCGCATGTGACTGCATGTCTGCGCATGTGACTGCATGTCTTGTGTGCGCACACACATGTGACTGCATGTCTTGTGTGCGCACACACATGTGACTGCATGTCTGTGTGCAAATGTGATTGCATGTCTGTGTGTGCACACACATTTGACTGCATGTCTGTGCACATGTGACTGCATGTCTGTGTGCACGTGACTGCATGTCTGTATGTGTGCGTATGTGGCTGCATGTCTGTGCATGTGACTGCATGTCTGTGTGCAAATGTGACTGCATGTCTGTGTGTGCACACATATGTGACTGCATGTCTGTGTGGGCACATGTGACTGCATGTCTGTATGTGTGCGTATGTGACTGCATGTCTGCGCATGTGACTGCATGTCTGTGTGCAAATGTGATTGCATGTCTGTGTGTGCACACGTATGTGACTGCATGTCTGTGGGCACATGTGACTGCATGTCTGTGTGTGTGCGTATGTGACTGCATGTCTCTGTCTGTGTGTGACTGCATGTCTGTGTGTGTGCATACGTGACTGCATGTTTTTGTGTGTGTGTGTGTTGGGGGAGGCCCTCCTGGCAGCCCAGATGGAACCTCGGGGTCTCACCCTTTTAAGTTCCTGCTCCCCACTCCCACCCTCCCCCATTTTATTTACTTATTTATTTTTGGGTCCCACCCGGCGATGCTCAGGGCTGACTCCTGGCTCTGCACTCAGGAATCACTCCTGGCGGTGCTTGGGGGACCCTAGGGGATGCCGGGGATCGAACCTGGGTCATCCGCTTGCCAGGCCGGCGCCCTCTGCACTATGCCGTGGCTCCAACCCCTCCCTCTCCCCCCCTCACTTTCATTGTGGACAGAACAATTCCCAGGGGTGGCTGCCCCCGGCTCCCCTCCCTCGGGCCCCCACCCCCCCAGTGACCCCCCCACCCCCACCCCGGCTTCCCTCAGACTTCGACCAGCGGGTGAACGACAACAAGACGGCGGCCGAGGAGGCCCTGCGCAGGATCCCAGACATCAGCCGCACCATCGCCGAGGCCGGCGAGAAGACCCGGGAAGCACAGCTGGCCCTGGGCAACGCCGCGGCCGATGCCGCCGAGGCCAAGGACAAGGCCCACATGGCCGAGCGCATCGCCAGTGCCGTCCAACAGGTGACCCTCAAATCCGGCTCTTGGAGCTGCTGGGGGGGGGGGCGTCTTCCCGGGACACACACACACACACACACACACACACACACACACACACACACAAAGCCCTGACCCATGCCCTCCACTGCTCACACCGTTCGCACAGTTCTCTCTGCCTGGGGTCCATAGTTCCCTTGGCACAAGTGCTAAGGCATTTGCCTTGCGCTGCCAACCCGGCCAACCCGGGTTCGATTCCTCCACCCCTCTCGGGGAGCCCGGCAAGCTCCCGAGAGGATCTCGCCCGCACGGCAGAGCCTGGCAAGCTCCCCGTGCCAAACACAGTCACAACAAATCTCACCACGGAGATGTGACTGGGCCCGCTCGAGCAACTCGATTTCTACCCCCAGACCCCCCCCCCCAAAAAAAAAATCTTCCTTTTTTTTTTTCCTGGTTTTGGGTCTCCCACCACAGGGCTCAGGGGCTGTTTTCCTGACTCCCGAGTTTGGGGTTGCCCTGGGGAACTGAGTCCCGGCCTCTAGCTCTGTGTGCCTGTCACCTTTGCTCGGGCCCCTGGGCACCACTCTGGTCACCGTGCTGGCCTGTTTACTAAGCTGCTTCCTTCCGAAGGAGGCGTCTCGGGGCGGGGGGTCTCGAGGCCTTCAGCCTCCCGGCCCTTGTTTTGTTTCGAAAGGGGGCTCAGTTCCCCGGGGGGGGGGGGCGGAGAAGGGACGCCCTGGTTTCGGGACCTGCCGGCAGCTGGGAATCGAAAACGTGGCCGCGTGGTACGGCCCTTGCCTTGCACGGGTTCGATCCCCACTCGCCAGAGGGCCCCGAGGGATGCCGCCGGGAGGGATTCTTGGAGTACAGAACCAGGGGGTATTGAGGACCGCTGGAGGTGGTGTCCCTGGGTGCAGCTTGGGGCCAGCTGCCGGGTCACAGAACCCCAAGGGCCGAGGAAAACGCTCCCGGGGGCTGTTTTGGGGAGCGGGATCGTGGCAAGGGTCGTGGGCGGGCGGGCAGGCTCACCCTCTGGACATGGGGGCTGGACACATACCCGCTGGACACGGGCTGGACACACACTCACTGGACACTGGGCTGGACACACACCCGCTGGACACGGGGGGCAGGACCCCACACCTGCTGGATACAGGGGGCTGGACACACCCGCTGGACATGGGGGGCTGGACACACCCACTGGAGACGGGGGGATGGACATTGAGGGCTGGACACACACGCTGGAACACGGCCCGTGTGCTCTGTCCAGAACGCCACCAGCACCAAGGCCGAAGCTGAGAGGACCTTTGCCGAGGTGACGGACCTGGACGGGGAGGTGACCACCATGCTCCAGCAGCTGCAGGAGGCCGAGGAGGAGCTGAAGCGGAAGCAGGACGCGGCCGACCAGGACACGATGATGGCGGGCATGGTGAGGGCGGCCGGACCCACACCCGCTGGACACGGGGGGCTGGACACTCACCTGCTGGACACAGGGAGCTGGACTCACACCTGCGGGGCATAGGGGGGCAGGACCCCACACCTGCTGGACACGGGGGCTGGACACACACCCATTGGACACACACTCACTGGACATGGGGCTGGACACACACTTGCTGGACACGGAGGGCTGGACACACACCCGCTGGACACGGGAGGCTGGACACACACTCACTAGACATGGGGCTGGCCACACACTTGCTGGACACGGAGGGCTGGACACACACCCGCTGGACACGGGAGGCTGGACACACACTCACTGGACACAGGGGGCTGGACACACCCGCTGGACACAGGGGCCTGGACACACCCACTGGACACGGGGGGCTAGACACACCCACTGGACACGGGGGGCTGGACACACCCACTGGAGATGGGGGGCTGGACACACACCCGCTGGAACATGGGGGGCTGGACACACCCACTGGACACGGGGGGCTGGACACATACCTGCTGGACATGGGGGGCTGGACACACACCCGCTGGACACGAGGGCTGGACACACCCACTGGAGACGGGGGGCTGGACACACCCACTGGACACAGGGAGCTGGACACACTGGACATGGGGGATGGACACGCCCACTGGAGACGGGGGCCTGGACACACACCCGCTGTACACGGGGGCTGGCCACACACACACTGGACACGGGGAGCTGGACACAGGGGGCTGGACCCACACCCACTGGACACGGGGTCTGGACACAGGAGGCAGGACCCCACACCCACTGGATACAGGAGCTAGACTCACACCTGCTGGGCATAGGGGGGCAGGACCCCACACCCGCTGGACATAGGGGTTAGATCCACACATGCTGGACACAGGGGGGCTGGACACACACCCACTGGGTACGGGGAAGGCTGACACACACTCACTGGACCCCATACCTGCTCAACATGGGGGGTGGACCCCACACCCACTGGACATGGGGATACTGATCCCCACACCTGCTGGACATAGGGGTCTGGACCCCATCCCTACTGGACGTGGGTGTCTTGGACCCCATACCTGCTGGACATGGCGGGCCAGACTCACACTGGACATGATGGGGGCTTGGTGGGGTGCAGACTGGACTGGGTATCAGGATGGGGGTCAGTGAGCACCAGGCCCCTCTGGGCAAGCTGGGGGCCGAGCGGTGGGCGGGCTTTCTGGGGACGGGCAGGGGAGGTGGCCAACCAGCCGCAGAACCCAGGAGCTGGGCGGGTCCTCTGGCCTCCTCTGCGTCCTCATCGGCTTTTCTCGGTCCAGCACCGGGAGGACAAAAGTGTGGGTCCATTGGGCTGCGCTGTCCCCTGCCAGAGCCACTCAGGGCCTCAGGGCCCAGTCGCTGGACCCCCAGTGGGGGTGGCACCCCCGTCCAGGGTGGCCCCCGTGGAGGGGATGCTCAGAGGTGTCGCTGGTTTGATGATTTCCATCATGTTTGGGTGGTTCCGAGGAGCCAGTCACGCTCCTGGGGCTCATACGACTTCTAGAAGGTTCCAGAGCCCTCCGGTATGGGGAGGAAGGAGTCCAGGGCTGGGAGGTCGAGGCCTGGGGGGACAGTGCGGGCCGGGCGTGGCCGTGGCGAGGTGACTCAGCCTGTCCAGTCATTGGATAAACAGCAGCCCGGCCCTGGCCGGGGCAGGAAGCAGGAAGCGCCCTGTGCAAACACACCGTTTTTCCGGCTTCGTGTTTTTCGGGGGATTTTTCAGAATCCCTCGTGGCCCCGGGAGGTCTGGGGAGCCCCACCCGGAAAGTGTGTCCCTGCCTGCTGGGAGGGGAGCGTCCAGGAAGGGCTTCGATTTGTGGGGTGCAGGGGAGAGGGGAAGGAGATACAGGGGGGAGGAGTGGAGGGGAGAGGGGAATGGGGTGGTAGGGGGAGGGGGCAGGAGAGGGCCGAGATGAAAGGGAGAGAGAGGAGGGGAGAAGGAGGAGGATGCAGGGTGAGGAAGGCAGGGAGAGGAAAGCGGAGTACAGGGGAGAGAGGGGTGGGGTGCAGGGGAGAGGGGCGGGGTGGAGGGGAGAGGGGAGCAGGGGAGGAAACGGGTCTGCTCTGGGCCCCGGCACCCAGCCGGCGTCCACGTGTGCCCTCGGTCCAGGCTTGGGCCAGCGCGCGAGTCTCCACCGCGCAGAGCCCCTGAGAGTGGGCACGCTGCCAGCCAACCCCACGCAGACACGTGGGGGAGGGGTTGGGTCAGGGAGGCCTGGGGCGCCCCCGGAACTGGCCCCTGAGCCCCGGACGTGCGTCTCTGCCCCCACAGGCGTCCCAGGGGGCGCAGGAGGCGGAGATCAGCGCCCGGAAGGCCAAGAACTCGGTGGCAAGTCTCCTGCAGCTCATCAACCAGCTCCTGGAGCAGCTGGGTACGGGCGGGCGCAGGGGTGGGGGGTGCAGGGGACCCCGGGACCTCGGGCACAGCAGGTGGGGTCACGGGGAGGCCCCGGGCGGGAAGCAACGGCCAGTGTCCGCAAGGCCCGGGAGCACTCAACAGGGAGCCCGAGGTGCTTTGAGTCAAGAGAGAGAAAAGGTTTGTCTGTGAGCGGAAATAGCCTCTCTGGGGAGGGCACTCGCCTGGCACACGGCTGACCTGGGTTTGATTCCCGGCATCCCATGGGGACCCCCACGCCCCAATCAATCCCCCAGTGAGCCCTGCCAGGAGTCACCCCTGAGCTCAGAACCCAGGCCCATCTTTGGGTACCACACAGAGCCCCGAGCACTGGATTGGGAGCACTGGGCGGGGAGCACTGAGCCTTGCAGCATGGCCAGGCAGCAGAAACACGAGCGAGGGATGGGCATCTCGGGCGGTGGGGACACACGTGGGGGTCCCCGTTCTCCCCCCACCCCCATCTCTCTCTCCCACACACACACAGGCCAGCTGGACACCGTGGACCTGAACAAGCTGAACGAGATCGAGGGCGCGCTCAGCCAGGCCAAGGACGAGATGCAGAGCAGCGACCTGGACCGGAAGGTGTCGGCCCTGGAGCGCGAGGCCCGGGGCCAGGAGGCCGCCATGCTGGGCTACGACCGCGACATCGAGGCCATCCGCAGGGACGTGCGGAACCTCGAGGACATCCGCAAGACGCTGCCGGCCGGCTGCTTCAACACGCCGTCCATCGAGAAGCCCTAGGCGGGGGCCCCGGCCGGACCCCCGAGCCCCCAGACCCCCAAACCCCACCCCACCGCCTCCATACCAGGTACAGGCTCAGCCACGGGGGGCGGGGGACATCCGGGCGTCACCCCCGCACCCCTCCCAGGCCGCCTGCGGGGGAGCGAACCCACCAGGACACCCTTGGGTCCTTCGCCTCGGAAGCCGGAGCCTCTCCTCCCCCCCATCAGGTCTGGGGGTCCTGAGTCCCCCCCCAATCCCCACTTGCCATTCTGGACGCCGGCTGTCCTGGAGCACTGGGCTGGGAGCACTGAGCCTTCCAGCATTGGCCAGGCAGCAGAAACCCAAGAGAGGGACCCCCGGGGCCCCGTGGCTGTCAGTCAGGACGGATAACCACTAGAGCCAGCATCTTGGGGGGCACGGCCCAGATCTGGGCTCCCCCAAAAAACCTCCCACCAGCAGGGGAAGGAAGGCCCTTCTGGCCACAGGGGCGGGGGAGAGGAGGGAGTTGGGCCCTGAGTCTCCTCGGGTGCACCCCGCCCTTCTCGAACCCCGTCCCCAGCCCCCCAAGACGCGCTGTTGCCAACCAAATCCCGGTGCACCCCCAAAGCCGACCGCACCCCCTCGTTCCTCTTTTGTGAAACAAGACTCCTGCCCTCCACGTGCTTGGCCGGGGCGGGCGGGCAGGGGGGACCCTCTGTGCAACATCGTGGTGGGCCTTGGGGGTCCCCCACGCCCCCTCGCCCCCAGCAGGACCCCCCACCACCCACCCCCAGCCCTATATCTAAGCCTTAACACTACGCGACTTTGTACTTTGCCTTGGGAGGGAAGGAAACTATATGATTTTGACACACTGGTGCTATTCGTCGTTTCAAATTGATATTTTTGTGTGACTGTGCATTTTTTTTCTTATTTTTTTTGGTCCGAATCCCCCCCGCTCCCCACCACCCCCCGAGAGTAAGCAGTAGCTGAAAACGAGACTCGGCCCCATTCCCGGGGCGCTGTGGGCTGAGCTCAGACCGCCCCTGCCCCCATCACCACCAGCACGTGCCTTCCGCCTGGGGTCCCCCCACTCCAGGACGAGCCCCCCCTGTAATGGGGGTCTTCTTCAGGGGGGATAGTGCCGTGACAGGCAGGAGAGGACGGAGTTTAGGGCCTCAAACCGAAGCAGCCGTTGTCGGAGGCGCTGTGGAATGTTCCAGAAAAGCTATCCGCGGGGTGTCGGCTGGGCTTAGCCAGCAAGAAGAGGGGGTGCTCCATCCCCCGGACCCCGGGACTGGCCCTCATCCGTTTGTGCTTTTCTGCCTGCCTGTGTGCTGTGCTTGGCTGTGTCTTTGTGGCCCCCGGTTCTGCACCCCTGGGGAACCCAGGCCCACCCCCCCACCCATGAGGCCCGCACCCCGCCAGGCCCCCCCCACCCCGACCACATGTCGGGGGCGACTTCAAGAGAATTTTATTTTTTAAGTCGAAGTCCTTGAGTGAGACGGAAGCCTGGCGAACCTCCGGCCTGCGGGGTCTGGGGGTGCCCGGGACAAAGACGGGGCGCGAGGTTCCCGCCCCCAGTGCCCTCCACGCCCGCCCCCACCTTCCCCGGCACTGCCCTGCTCTCGGGCGCGGACGAGCGCGACACTTGGCATTTTGTATGTTACAGAACCAGTATTTTATTTATAATAAAATCGGAATATTTGTAACCCTTGAGAGTCGGCGTGGCCCACCGTGATCTCGGGACAAACGGTTTCCCGGGGCCTATAGCGTGTCCTCGGTTTCCTGCCCGAGAGAGAGAAGAGAAAGAGAAAGAGTGAGAGTGAGTGTGCACGCGGTGTATGGATGTTAGTTCATGTATGTGGCATGTGTTGTCATGTACATGTATATTTCGTGTGTGGTGTGCGTCATGTATGTACACGTGTGTGGCATGTGTGAGCACGTGTTTCATGTGTATGATTCATGTATGTGTGCGGTGTGCATGCATGTCATGTATGTGGCATGTGTATACATGTGTGTTTAGTGTGGCACATATGTGTACCTGTGTGTTTAGTGTGGCACATGTGTGTATTGTGTGTTTAATGTGGCACATGTGTACATGTGTGTTTAGTGTGCGGCACACGTGTGTACGTGTGTGTTTAGTGTGGCACATGTGTGTATATGCATGTTTAGTGTGAGGCACACATGTGTATGTGCGCATTTAGTGCATGGCACACGTGTGTGCGTGCGTGTTTAGTGCGTGGCACACGTGTACGTGCATGTTTAGTGTGGCACACCTGTGTACTTGCGTGTTTAGTGCGTGGCACACATGTGTATGTGCGCATTTAGTGCATGGCACACATGTGTACGTGCGTGTTTAGTGCATGGCACACGTATGCATGTGTGTTTAGTGTGTGGCACACGTGTGTGTGTGCGTGTTTAGTGCGTGGCGCATGTGTACGTGCATGTTTAGAGTATGTGGTGTGTGTATATGTAGATGTTTTCGGGGGTTCCTCCCAGCGCACTCAGGGTTCTGGTGCCGGCTGGTCCAGGGGCCCCTGCCTCGAGCCACCTCGCCTTCCCCCAAGCCAGAAGTCCACAGAGACCCTGAAACCCCCACCCTGAGCCCGGGGCCCTGGTGCGACCCAAACCCCCACCGCTGACGTTGCTCCTGTCCGGACCCCCAGGACGCGACCTGCCGTTTCTTCTACCTCGCGCCTCTGCGCTCCGTGCTGCCTCAACACAAAAGCCCACCAGCCCAGTCTGGGGGGTGCGGCCGGGAAGGGGGGTGGTCACGCCTCCCTGGGTGCTGAGGCAGCGGCCGCGGCTGGGATTTCCCTGATTACATGGTGAGGTGCTTGGGGGCGGCTGTTCCGACTTGCTGATGCTGCAGGCTCAGCCTTGTCTGCCGTCTCGGCCGCACGGACCCCAGCGGCTGCCTTCTAGAAGCTTCTCAGGCAGGGCGAAGCACCGATCCCGGGTGCCGTGCGTTATGCTCAGCAAGACACCTAGCCCTCATTCAGGGGCATTCCCTTAGACCTTTCATGTCTCACCATTTTTTTATTCTTTCTTTTTGGGGTCCCGCCCGGCGATGCTCAGGGCTGACTCCCGGCTTTGCACTCAGGAATCACTCCTGGCAGTGCTCAGGGGACCCTAGGGGATGCCGGGGATCGAACCCGGGTCGGCCACAGGTTCGTTCGAGCCCACTTCTCATCATTTTGATCCATCTTCCTTATAAGAACTGAGAGTAGGGCCAGAGCAATAGCACAGGGGGAGGATGTTTGCCTTGAATGTAGCGGACGCTGGTTCGATCCTCGGCATCCCCATCCTGTCTCCTGAGCACCCCCAGGACTGATGCACGAGCACAGAGCCCGGACTCAGCCCTGAGCACCTCTGAGTGTGGTGCAAAAACCCAAAGAGTAATCAAGACCCTTTGGAATAATCGTACATTTGGGCCGTAACTTACAGAGAGACAGTTCATAATACTTATTCGTGCATAATTTCAGATATTTGGGGGTGGGGGCTGGAGCGATAGCACAGCGGTAGGGCGTTTGCCTTGCACACAGCCAGCCTGGCCAAGCCGGGTTCGATTCCTCCGCCCCTCTCGGAGAGCCCAGCAAGCTACCGAGAGAACCTCGCCCGCACGGCAAAGCCTGGCAAGCTCCCCGTGACGTATTCGATATGCCAAACACAGTAACAACAAGTCTCAAAAAAATGGAGACGTTACTGGGCCCACTTGAGCAAATTGATGAACATTGTGGAGAGGGCTTAAAGATGTGTGTGTGTGTGTGTGTGTGTGTGTGTAGGGGGGAGTTGTTTTAACTTGAAAACATAAGGTTCCTTTACCCTTTAGTTATTTTCTGCAAGTCAGGACGGTCAGAACACGTGCTTTTTTGCTCACGGGAATTCTAACCTAGCACTCCCGGGTGGGTGCCCCAAGCACCACCAGGGGTGACCCTCCCAGCTTCTAGAAGCCAGCAGTAGCCCTCAGAAACCCCATGCAGGGCCCCCAGACCAGCTGCGTGTATTTCCTTAAGACACAGAGCACTTCCGACGGGAGCCCAGCCCAGCTGTCAGATTCTGAAATCAGCAGGCAGGGCTGGTCTACACTGGCCTCTCAGGCGACAGCGTCTGTGGTCGGGATGGCACCCACGGGGGTTGGCAGGCCACATCTTGGGCTTGGAAGCCTGTGGCAGACCACAGACCACAGTGGGACGTCAGAGAGGGAGTCACTGCATTAGCTCTGGAATGTGACGGGCAAGATTCTGAGGGTTGGGTGAGAGAGAGAGGGAGAGATCGGGCTGGGGCAAGGGCAAGGAGGACTTGGCTTTCATCATCTTCACGTTGAACTCACCTGGACCTCCTATAATCGGGCCTCCACCATCGTTGAGTTGAACTCAGCGGAGCCTCCGCCATCTGTGAATTGAACTCAACTTGGTTTCACCATCTTTGAGTTGAACTCACTTGGGCCTCCGCCATCTACGAGTTGAGTTCACCTGGGCCTCCACCATCGGTGAGTTGAACTCAGCCGGGCCTCCATCACTTTACCTGGATGTTGGCCTCCGTCACCTTCATGGTGAGCTCAATCTGGCCTCCTTCGTTGCCTTTGCTTTCAACGACCCTGACTAGGGAGTAGCCTGTGACCTCATTGAAGTTGCAGAAGAAAACTTCTGTGTCATGAAATCTCCCATAAACTCTGAATCACAAAAAGTTTCCAGTCGGTGAGCTAACGGAGACATCCCACCTAAGAGAAACCCTCCTGAGGCTAGCACCCCTGTTGCTGGATCTTTGAACATTCTGTTTGCTTGTTTGGGGGCCACACCTGGCAATGCTCAGGGCTGACTCCTGGCTCTGCACTCAGGAATCACTCCTGGTGGTGCTCAGGGGACCATATGGGATGCTGGGGATCGAACCTGGGTCGGCCGCATGCAAAGCAAACACCCTACCTGCCGTACTATCTCTCCGGCCTCAAATCTTTTTAACCTTTTAGAAGGATTTTTAATTCCCAACGAATTCCTCCACTTCTCACAAATCATCAGCGCGGTTACTGTCTTGCCTCTGGGTGTGAACCAGCCTGGGGTTGAATGACTCAAGATTCATCATTTGCCTCTGGGACTGGGCATCAGGAACGCGCCTTCAGGGCTGGAGCAATAGCACAGCGGGTAGGGCGTTTGCTTTGCACACAGCCGACCCAGGTTCGATTCCCAGCATGCCATAGGGTCCCCCGAGCACCGCCAGGGACCCTGGCAGCCTCCTTAGGGGCAGTTGCAAGAAGGGTGACCCTCCACACGCTCGGACAAGCCTCACCCAAGTGTGAACCGGCAAAAAACCCCAGGTATGTGGAACCCGTGGATGATATGTCCAAACCCCCTCGGATCGGGACTGGGCTTCCTCCCCCAGCTCCCCAGTTTTCCAGGAGCTTGGCAGTCACCCACAAACTGCCCCCAGCACCATGTAATCTCATCAATGGCCAAGATACAGAGACTTTATTTATTTTTGCTTTGTGGTCACACCTGGTGATGCACAGGGGTTCCTCCTGGCTCTGCACTCAGGAATCACCCCTGGCGGTGCTCAGGGGACCCCATGGGATGCTGGGAATCGAACCCGGGTTGGCCGGTTGCAAGGCAGACGCCCTCCCCACTGTGCTATTGCTCCAGCCCCGATCCAGAGACTTTAAACTAAAGCTCCTGGAAGAGAGTGGCGCAGAATTTCCTAGAGCACGCGGCCGCATTTGCGACCGTGCAACTTCTTGTACTCTAGCCCACTTACGTGGCAAAAGTCACACACATTCGTTTGTTTTTAACATACTTGCTTATATTCTCGTATCTATGGGCTTAAATGACTCCAGCATGAAATATGACAACATGCAAGAACCTTCACACACTTCGCTCTTATGGTGGTTGGGTGGGGGGTGTTTGAATACCATCTGCAAGGAACTGTTGTGAACTACTTGATGAAAAGAAAATATAAATCGCAAAAATAAAAAAAAAAACGAAGCAGGTTGCCGCTTGGCTAGAGTGAAGGACGCCCAGCGGTACCAGGCCCTGCCCTCTGGCTCCAGCCCATGCCAGGCTGGGTGGTACGAGGTCAGTGATCCCACCCCACTGGACAACCCCGCAGTGCCAGACCAGTGGGATACACGGCCCCCCGCGAGCCTGAAGCTCACCCAATTAGGATCCTTTTCCTCCTCCTCCTCCTCCTCCTTCTTTCTTCTTCTTCTTCTTCTTCTTCTTCTTCTTCTTCTTCTTCTTCTTCTTCTTCTTCTTCTTCTTCTCCTCCTCCTCCTCCTCCTCCTCCTCCTCCTCCTCCTCCTCCTCCTTCTCCTTCTCCTTCTCCTCCTTCTCCTTCTCCTTCTCCTTCTCCTTCTCCTTCTTCTTCTTCTTCTTCTTCTTCTTCTTCTTCTTCTTCTTCTTCTTCTTCTTCTTCTTCTTCTGCTCCTCCTCCTCCTCCTCCTTCTTCTTCTCCTTCTCCTCCTCCTCCTCCTCCTTCTCCTCCTCCTCCTCCTCCTTCTCCTCCTCCTCCTCCTTCTTTCTTCTTCTTCTCCTTCTCCTTCTCCTCCTCCTCTTCTCCTCTCCTCCCCCTCCTCTTCCCCTCTCCAAATTTCCTCCTCCTCCTCCTCCTCCTCCTCCTCCTTCTTCTTCTTCTTTCTTCTTTTTTTGGTCACACCCGGCGATGCACAGGGGTTACTCCTGACTTTGCACTCAGGAATTCCTCCTGGAGGTGCTCGGG